TATCCATTGTGTGATGTGCTGGGGGTTTGCATGGGGGAGGGGGAATTACTGATTTGGCTGTCTGTTGAGTGTGCAATGGCACTCCTTCATCTACCATTGAACCCTAGCAACGTGCCTGGAAAATGCGTGTTGCTTCTGCCAAAGTCCTGCCCGAGGGGACCCATAGCATTTGTCTTCACTGTACCAAGGGCCTTCTGAAGAGAGAAGTGAAATGGAACTACGCATGCTAAGTTTTCAAAACATTCTGGGAAGATAATTTTATCCCAGTGCTTAATAAATCTAAATCCTTCTTTCTGCTGCCACTACCTTATTACAGTGGTACCTCGGGTTACGAATTTAATCCGTTCCGTGACTCTGGTAGCAACCCGATTTGTTCGCAACCCGAAGCAAATTTTCCCATAAGGTTCAATGTAATTACCATTAACCCGTTCCGGCGTCCGCGGACCACGTGGCACGGGCGGAAAATGGCCGCGGACGTGTCACGGCGGAAAATGGCCGCGGATCCGGTTCGTACCCCAAGACGGAGTTCGCAAACCGAGGTAAATTTTTGCGGCCAGAGCTGGTCGTAACCCGAAAAGTTCGTAAGCAGAGGCTTTCGTAACCCGAGGTACCACTGTATACGGTGATTCTGCTTTGCCTTATCTTTCATGTTGTGCTTAAGGCTGCTATTACATTACAGCAATACTCACTGCTGCATCACCCAACCAGGCAACCTAGCAGGTTCATAGATTCTGTGGTTTTGTTTCAACTCATTATAACTGCAGCTACAATTAGAAACAAATTCCACTGAATAAATACAGTTAATGAGTGGATAACTAGGAGTGTTAATTCCATGGATTGCAGCAGAATCAATATGCTTTCCATCTTAAACGTGATGGTGTCAAAAATAGATCAGGTTGATCACTGAAAATCCAGATAGTTGTACAATGTTATCAAGCATCTGATAAATGCATCTGATAAATGCATTTCTGTGTCTTCAAAGGCACAGGACTAATTCCATTAATTATCTCCTGCAGATGTATTCATCTTTGCAGGGAGAGGGAAGCAAAGTCTTAATATCCTTTCTATTGACATTTAGAGGAAATGAGAAAGATTAAAATTAGGAGAGAGCCAGCCAACAACGTTTAGCTCTTTCTCAAATGTTCTGTTGGACCCTTAATAAAGAACTGTACTTAATTTAGCTTTCCCCAACTTGGCATCCTCCAGCTGTATTGGCTGTGAACATTCATAATCTTCATACAGAATTAACATTGGTCAGGGAATTGTAGGAGTTGAAGTCCAACATATAAAGAAGACATTAGATGGACAATAACTGTCTTGATTTAGAAAGCAGAGATCTCTGGCTTCAAATATGACAAGATCTATGGTGACTGAAGCCTCATTTAGTTTATTTGTGTGGAAGTGCATAGGACATCAAGTCACACTTTTACATTAGTATGTGTAAGTCTAAACTTAAAAATAATGGCTAATATTAAAATAATACAGTGCACCTCAGTACAGAGGAGAAGGTTATGTCCAGTGACTTGTGTACTGGCTTATTCTGCTGCCCAGATGTTCACGTTCAATAGGCAGTTTCAAAGCTCCTGCTCTCTTTTAGGTCTGTACTCCAAAACAGACTTGGATTGAGCAGCTTTCCAGAGAAAAATTCTTTATCGAGTGGATATCTTTCCACACGAGAAATTAATTCTGTGCATATTAATATTCTGCATTTATCATTTATAAAAACATATTCGTTCTTATTTTATTTATGACTCATATGCAATGGTGCATGGTGCACCTAACCCTCACAATCTAATCTTAGAACAGGTTGTGTGTTAAGACGGCTGAGAGATCATGAGGTGCCCCGTGAGGTGCATGGCTAAGAAGGATCTCGAAGAAGCCTGAGTGGGTCCTTGCCCCATCCCAACTCCTGGTGACAGGAAGGAGTTCTCAATAGTCCACACCTTTCGCGGGACGCTGCGAGGCTTTTATTTTTGCTGGCCTAGAAAATTAACCAGGCTCGACTCGGCCCTGATCGTTCTGGATGGTGGACTGTCTGTAAGGGCCGGGCTATAACCTCGTCTGAGAAGCTGAAATACCTCCTTGTAAAAGCAATGGGAAGCCACCGGAGTAGCACGACGCCCGGAAAATTGCGCGGATCTGCAATCCTGTAAGTCGCCAGGAGAAGCCGAGCTGGCCTCGACGGCGACTCGGCTTGCCTGTTGCGAAGTCCTGGCTGGCTGTCGGAGGACGGAGAGGAGCGAAGATGGGGACGCACACGCTGTGGCTTTGCGAGGAAGCAGCCTCGGTTCCCCGCAGGCGAGAGAGCTCGCCAGGAAGGGCAGAGGGCGACGCGAAAGGGAGGAGGCGTCAGCAAAAGCCGAGGAGTGGTGGGCGCGCTTCCCCCAAGCCCTATAAAAAGCCGGGCTTCCCCGCTCCTGTTCTGGGCTAGATCTGCAACGGGGGAGCGGCGCGCGCTCTGTCTCCCTGATCGGGGCCCCAGGAGATCAAGTAAGTTCTTTCTGAGGCAACTTTTTAATACTCGCAGCGGTCACTTGCGCTCTTTGGGTAGATATACGAATTTGGTCGCCCTCTGATTCTATAAACACTTCCTTGCGCAGCAGTTATGCGTTCTTACCAATAGACTTACGACAGGTCAAGTCTTTCGAATTAAAGATCCTCAAAGCAGTTTGCAGGGAGTTGCAAGTATTGCGCTAAACACGGAAAGCTCGTTGGATCCCTCTGATTTTCCTGAACTTTCTTTACTAGAAACCACCGCCTTTACTCATGCGCATCCTGGTACTCTCCTTTGAATTTTTTAAGATTCAAGTTTTATAACAAAATATTCGGCAAACAAGGCAAGCTTAGAGAACAGGCTAGTTAAGCCTTGCAAAACTCCCCGGTGCAAAAGAAAATCAAAATAATTTTAAAGGGCTTACTCAGTCTCTGTCATCTGTAATCAGGAGTGCTAAAGTGAATTTTCGTTTGCTTTGCGATTTACTTTAGAAGTAGGTCTCAGCGTTCTTCTGTAGCCAGTGTGCATGTAAATGTAATCTTAATATTTAAAACACATAGAGAAATTCTAATTAAACTAGGACTCTGAATAAAAGTAGCATGAACTTAAATATGTCTATCACATCAGTGGGAATCTCAAATACATTTTGGATTGAGACAGCCAATATTATACATACATATTTTGTCTGATTGCTCATGTTTTAACCATGTATGTGGAAATAAGCCCAAGAGATATTTTCCCAGCCATGCACATATTCAAGTAGATGTGTAGAATAGTGTTTTTTACGGCAAAACCTACTTTTCCCTAGATACGCGGGGTTTTTATTTATTTTTATTCATTCATATATAAAGGAATCCTAAATATCCAACAAATTCATTGACCTGGAAATATAGATTTAATTGAAGGACTCACTCAATTGTATTATATGTATACAATCCTTTACATAAAGTAGCTCAATTATAAAATAATCTTAATTTATAATTTTAATATGCTAAATGTTAAATATTAAAAATCTGAACAAATGCACAATTACACTAAAAAATAAATATTTTAAAACAGCAAAGAATTGGATACATTCATAAACCTATTTAGGCCTTTACAAAGGGCAAAATTATAGGGCAATCAGGTATGTTTACTCAGCAATAAATTCTATTATGTTTAATGTAAATTATTATCCAGTAATCCATTTTAAATTTAGAAACTTGGAACTGAAGTTGAGCCAAATCAAAATCTGAGCTCTCAAGCTGACCAGGAAAAACTTCTTAGAGGCACAATTATTTAAATCCTACCTTCTTTTTACCCCTGTGTCTTCTCCCCTTCATTGCTTGATTGCAGAAAAGTATCTTCAGTTGAATGGAAAAGTCTGTAACTGAGAAAAACCTTTGAGGGGAAACTATTTTTATTCCACCACAGACCCATTGATACAACACAGGGTGAGGTATAGAAATTATATTAATCTGGCATAATTTTTATTATTAGAGTTGTTGAGAGTTGGGCAGCATACATGTTTAATATATTATTGTAGCTGTTTGCTAGTTTTGCTAACTATTGTTAACTGTAGAAAATATATTATAGTAATTTATAAGGCACCCAGAAGAAAACTGTCTTCAGTAAATGTAGGATTTGCTGAATGCAAGCGCAAGTCAGATGCAGACTCCAAAAGCATACATTTTTCACAGAATTCCAAATGATGTTCCAAATCATTTCTTTATCTTTTAAAGCCATCATGTATCAGTACCAAAGAGGAAAGCAATTCAATAAATAAGCTCACAATTCAGGCTTACATTCTTGTATATTTACTTGGAAGTCTTATTGGTAGAAGTATCTAACCTTAGATAATCATCCAAATAACCCAAGAGGGTTGGATCTCTTTAGTACTTAGTTGTGGAACCACCAGAAAATCCCAGGTCTGTAGTTTGGGAAGTACCTGGAAGTAAAAATAAGTGCATAAAATTTAAAAAAAAAAATCCAGGAAGATCACTTCCACATTACTATAAAGAAATCTACTTTACATATCCACTAAGTAATTAGGAGCTATGTTCAGCGTGACCTTTTACGTTTATCTGTAGATTTTATTAACATTTCGGTGCTAATCATATCTGCTAGATACTAAGTCACATTCATAAGGATTCCCTTCTTCTCAATAGATATTAGATGTTAGCCCCAAATTTATTTCAAGTTAAGATGCTTAAAAGATGTCCTAATATACTGTTTAAAGTTGGTCATTATTTTCTGAAAATTCATTAGAATTATGAATCAGTTGTCTGAACTATGTGCAGATGATTTATCAGCTGAATTCTCCCATCTTAAAAATAAAACTGCAAGGTTAATGGTTGCTGGCACAAAGATACCAAATTAAGAGAATACACTTCTGTATACTGAAAATTGTGGCAGCAAATACTTAACAATCAGATTGCAATATAGTTATAAAAAAGAAAATGTAGTTGTGACAATCCAAGGTATAAGCTGGGAATTAGCATCCATGTTGGTTGCAGGTTTGTTACCAATGGACTATAAAAGTGCATCCGAGAACATCAAGGAGCTCGATATTCCATGCTCAAACGCCTCTCTGCCACCCTCCACATCTGGCACGAACTCCTTAGGACAACGGACTGGGGCAACTTTGGGGAGACCGGCAGCAGCCAACGCGGCCCGAGAGCGTAGCCGAGTACAGACCCTGCGGCATGCCTTCTTAGAGTTGCAGAGAACTCTGCCCTCTGTGCCACCTGACACCAAGCTCTCCAAGTTGGATGTATTACTTCTAGCCACCACCTACATTGCCCATCTCACCCGCAGCTTGCAGGATGAAGAAGAATTGCCTGGTGAGGGCTTGGGAACTCTGAGAGGGGATGGCTACCTACACCCTGTTAAGGTAAGTAGGGCAAAGCAAGTAATATTTTTTTCCCTAGAAGATCCAATCATGGAATTGTTTGAAAACCTTTCAGTTATGCAGAAATCTTCAGACAAAAAGGCATACTTAAACCATTGAAAAACTACTAATATACAAGTACACTAGTCTATGCAAGAACTCTTTAGCGTTACGGAATCAGTGGAATCAATAAGAACCAACTGAACCACAATTTATTGATGTGATTCCGTATGAGACTTCATATAGACTTAGCATTAAACCTCTGTGTACCATAACCATTATACATAATACTATGCCCAATGTCAGGGACAAGGTCTGAAATGAGTCCCATGTACTACAAAGGAATTTATGCCCTATGACAGTGGTTCTTAAAGTGTTTGTCCCAATTACCCCTTTTCCTGGTATCAAATAAAAACAGACTCTGTTTTTATACACAAGCATTTTGGCAGCGGCAGTCCCAAACTGGATCCTCAACTCACAAACATACAATTACAAATTGCTCTATTGCCCCCAGGATATACCCAAATTATCCCATTGGGGGTAATTACCCCCCAGTGTAAGATCCACTGCCCTATGAACTATATTTGGATTGCAAGTTCAAACTACAAAAGGTCTTTCCCTTGCTACTAGCTCTTTAATAAGTAATTTCTTTAATACATTACACTTAGCTTCGTTCAGGAAACTACTACTTAAAGGCCTAGTAATCAGGAACTACTTTAAACCAAACTAAGTGGAGCTTGGTGTAAGTAGTCCTTTAACTTTTTTTTTTTTTTAATCTGCACTCAGTCGTTACCGACTCTGCAGCGACTGCTTCTTTGGACGAGTCCTTTTCAGGTTTCAAGGCAAGGGTTTTCGGGAGGGGTTTGCCA